ATGAACAGCTCTTGGCTCTCTTGGGGGGGGGGGTCTGTATCCTCCTCATCTTCCTTCTCCACACTCTTGTCATTGTTGCACTGCTGGGGCTCCTTCCTCAGGTTCTCATGAGGTGTCCACTCTTACCTACAGATTGCTGGTGGGATCCCTGCAAGCATTGCATATAAGCATCAAGTATTAGGGGGGTAGCCCCAGATCTTCTGTTGGCTTCCCTTCCCCATAGCCCGGCATTGCTGCTCATCACCTTTTTGCCCCAGCTTCAGCATCTTCTTTGCAATAACCGAATACACCTCTATATTCCTGTGATTATTCCACAGCTGGGCTTGCACCACACCTCCCCAGAGGCCAAGGAAATCTAGGCCTTCTTTTCTAGACAAGGCAGCAGTGCAAAGCTTACCTGTAGCTTTACATGGAGCCACACCCGTATGCTTACAAAGGTAAGCTTTTAGGAAGGACACAGCGGGTATTTTAAAGGAGGTCAGGCTTCTGGTCACTGTAACCCCTGAATAACTGATTTTAGAATTGTGACCAGAGCGGTCATTCTCGGTGGGTCATTGTGGGACTATGGCTGAAGGAAAAGGTAATGCAGCGTCCATGAAGACGCTGGTACCAGGCCAATAGAGAGTTTATGCCATTTGGGGACGTGGTTTAACTTGGCTGACACAGAATCAGGGTGTTTCAGCAGCAGGACTCGGAATTGCAGTGCTGAGTGCATACACAGACGTGCTAAAATAAGGCCAGTGTTACCAGCAAAACTTTGTAGTATAGACCTGGCTTTGGTATTAGCTAAGTATTGGGAGCTGTATACGGTACAATAACACCCTACAGTCTGTTTTCATATTGTCCTTCTGCTCAAGAAAACTGTTGCAAATGGCTGGTGAATCTGGGACATTTCTTTTTCTCTATCAGACAAGCAATATTAACATATGGCTTGGCTGTTTTGAAAGAGTGCTACATATTTTTGCAAAAAATCCTGGTCTTTCTGAGTTAATGAGACTGAAGTGATGAAGCAGGGGAAAAGTGAGAGCAAGTCAAGAATGCTGACGTTGCTGAAAAGCCGCACAGAATGAAGAAAGAAAATACATTAGTTAAATGATGATTCCTCTGGCCGCTTGTCTGGTGATCCAACATTTGCCTGAATTGCTCTTCAATGAGGATACGGGGAAAAATAGTTATGTAAAAGATCACTATATTCGCTCACTGGTAACTCTGAAGGTCTTACTGATCAAGCCGTATGTTCTGGCAACTCAAGTTTGGACAGTGGGAAGATAAAAGTTACAGTCACAGGACTGTTTTGAAAACAGTTTTAAGTTTTTTGTTTAACTTGAACCTGATCTCTCCCGCCCCACCCCCCCCCATCCCCTCTGAGTTCTTAATTTACCTAGGAACCATCTGAGTGAAAATCCACAAACTGCTAATAATGCAATATTAGGTTGAGAATGTAAATGAATGCAAGTAAAGAGATTAAAAAATTATGGCTTCCACAGCAATGCTAACTAGGGTTGCCAGGTGTCCAGTTTTTGACCAGAATGGCCGGTCAAAAAGGAGCCTGGCGGCTCCAGTCAGCACCACTGACCAGGCCATTAAAAGTCCAGTCAGCAGAGCATTGGGGTAGGCAGGCTTTCATCCCTACCTGGCTCTGCACAGCTCCTGCAAGTGGCAACATGTCCTTCTGGCTGTGGGGGCGGACAGAGGGCTCTGCGTGCTGCTCCAACCCCGAGTGCTGGCTCCACTGCTCCCATTGGCTGGGAACCGCGGCCAGTGGGAGCTGCTCGGGGGAAGCACACAGGGCCCCCGGCACCTCCACCTAGGAGCCAGACGTGCTGGCTGCTTCCGGGACCCGTCTGAGGTAAGCGCTGCCCAGAGCCTGCACCCCCTTCCTGCACCCCAACCCTCAGCCGCAGCCCGGAGCCCCCTCCCGCACTCCCAACTGCTCAGCCCCAGCCTGTAGCCCCCACTTGCACCCCAAACTCCTCATCTCTGGCCCCACCCCAGAGCCTGCACCCCCATCTGGATCCCTCACACCCTCCTGCACCCCAACTCTGTGCCCCAGCCCTGAGCCTTCTCTCACACTCCCAACCCCTCATCCCTGCTGTGATGTTCTGTACCTCAGGGGAATACCCTGCACCCCCCCATGATCATCCTATAATATGATTTATATTGTGATATCAATGCAAAGTTTGTCGTGTCGGGTGTCTTCGGAAAGCTCATGATGCACTGAGCGTTGTTGTTATAGTAATTGTTTTACAGTAATGTTATAGGTTGTAATTTCATGTATATAGTTCTAAGGTTGAAAGTGTGTCCTCATGGCTTAAAACAGGCCCAAGCAAAACTCTTCAAGAGCAGAGGGGCAGTTCACACCTCATCAGGGCATGTATGGGACAAACCCAGCCCAGCCTCACAGGAATAAAGGACACTGGCCTAGGCAGTAACAAAGGATCTGTTGGCCTCTTGAGTTAGTCACCCCCCCCTTTCCTCTGGTCAGTTTTGGGACTGCAATGAGGTAATGCTCATCTGACTCTGAAGGGGGGAGGGCAAAGCCAAGAGGGAAGAAAGAACATGATAGAAAGGAGAGATGTTTGCCATGCTCTTCCTCTCTCTTCTACCTCCATCTACAGACATCACCACCAAGCGACTGAAGCATTGGTCAAAGGGGAGAGCCTGGCTGAAGGGCAACCAGCCAGCCTGTGGTGAGAAGCATCTAAGTGTGTAAGGGCATTGAAAGTGTTAAGATCACCTTAGAATGCATTTTGCTTTTATATCATTTGACCAAATCTGACTACTTGTGTTCTGATTTATAATCTTTGTAGTTAATAAATCTGTTTGTTTGTTCTGCCTGAAGCAGTGTGTTTGATTTGAAGCATGTCAGAGACTCCCCTTGGGATAACAAGCCTGGTACATATCAATTTCTGTTTCAATATAAATTTGCAGCATCCAGTGGGCATAACTGGACACTGCAAGATGGAGTTTCCTAGGGTTGTGTCTGGGACTGGAGATATTGTCTGTTGTCATTCGGTTGTACAATCCAAGGAGCAGCTTACATGCCAGAGGCTGTGGATGAACAGCCCACAAGTGGGGGTTCTCACAGCAGAGCAGGGTAAGGCTGGCTCCCAGAGTCAAGGTTTGGCGTGATCTAGCAGATCACTGGTCCGGATAACACCAGGGGAAGTGACACCCAGCCCCATCCCAGAGCTTGCACTCCCAGCAGGAGCCCTCACCCCCTGTCCCAGCACAGTGAAAATGAGCAAGGGTGGGGGAGAGCGAGCGACGGAGGGCAGGGGCATGGTGTGAGTGGAGGGCAGGGCCTCAGAGAAGGGGCAAGGCAGGGGTGGGGCAAGAGTGTTCATTTTTTGGCAATCAGAAAGTTGGCAATGCTAATGTCAACGATGTGGCTGTCTTCTAGTGTCTTGAAATGATCCTGCAGTTAAATATATGCCTTGATGTAAAAGTGCAATGCGGCCAGATGTTGCTATGGGATCTTTGATTCTTGAAATTCCTGACTCTTGATCATATACATTCTCAACTTTAATTGGAGGGGGAAGGAGATGGAAATGTTAGTGCAATAATTTCCTTTAAACAGAGAAACATTCTGGAACATTTATTTGACACCGTGCTCCTACTCAGACACATTTGAATGTGGGGGTTGGGGACCACACCTTCAAACACACGAGTCCTGGTAGGGTGCATTTCATTCAGTGGCCATCTGTTTCTTACAATGGGAGGTGGGGGTGGTGGAGAAACAAGAGGTGAAGCTTTCTCATGACTAATATCCCCCTGCAGCCTGCTGACCAGCATTCTGAAACTAGTTTTAGGGAGATTTGAGGGGGGGCCGGAGCATGTGACACTTGCCTCCCTGAAGCTGCTGACTGTGCCTGGTGGACACAGCACCATTTTGGAGGCCATCAACATCCCCCTCCTGCAGCAGAACACAAGTGAGACAGCCTGACTGGCCAGTGCATATACGCACCCACCGGCTGCTTAGTTGCCAGGGGTCTGGTTTTTGACAGGAACGCCTGGTTGAAAAGGGACCCTAGCAGCTCTGGTCAGCACCGCTTTTGGCAGCGCAGCGGGGCTGGCCTGGCTCCAAGCGGCTCCCAGAAGCAGTGGCATGTCCGGCTCCTAGGTGCAGGGGCAGCCATGGGGGCTCTGTGCACTCCCACAGCTCCAAATGCCGGCTCTGCAGCTCCCATGGCCAGGAAACCTAGCCAGTGGGAGCTGCAGGGGTGGCACCTATGAGCACGGGCAGCACATAGAGCCCCATTACCCTCTACCTAGGAGCTGGACATGCTGGCCACTTCGGGAGGCATCTGAGGTAAGCGCAGCCCAGAGCCCAAACCCCCTCCCATGCTCCAACTCCCTGCCCCAGGTTGGAACCCCCTACTGCATCCTAACTCCCTCCCAGAGCCCTCACCCCCTCCTGTACCCCAACTCCCTGCCCCAGCCTTGAGCCCCCTCCTGCACCATGAACTCATCATTTCTGGCTCCACCCCCAGTCAGAGTTCTCTCCCACTCCCGCACCCCAACCCCTTACCCCAGCCCGGTGAAAGTGAGGTGAGGGTGGGGGAGAGTGAGCGATGAAGAGAGAGCAGATGGAGTGAGTAGGGGCAGGGCCTCGGAGGGGGCGGAGCAGGTGTGGGGCCTCGGAAGGCATGGGGCAGAGGGTGAGGCAAGGGTGTTTGGTTTTGTGCAGTTAGAAAGTTGGCAGCCATATGGCTACTGCCGGGGACGGGGACTAGCTGCATGGGCCGTGCACGCACACTGACGCCCAACAAATAGAACATGGAGTACATCTGTCCCTCCCTCTTCCCCCTATAGATCAATTTAAGCCATATCACTGTTACAATATTTGTACTTAATGCATACTTGTGTATATGGTGCATATAATACATATTATTATGATCTATATTTATATGCTAGCCAGCATATATCAGTCAACACTGTTTCAGTTTGTAAAACTCTCTCTGATCTGTTACACTAAACTGTATTCTTTCCTCTTGCAGACGTAAGCTGAATGGCTCCAGAGAGGTGGAACCAGTGGAACTTCCCAACTGCCACCTTATTAAAGGAATTGGTATGTATGTGATAGGACTAAGTACTTTGTATTGGGAGCCTTGCTTTAAAGTCAGCTACTAAAGCCAGGTTTTAAAAAGCTGACTCTGGAAAAAATAATAATTGTGGCCTATAAATACTCTTTTTGCTATTGTGAATCCCCTGAACTCCAGTGGGAAAGAAAAGAGGCAGCAGACAGAAAATTCTGTTGTGAACAGCTGGATGTTCAGAATAGAAGGAAAACTTCAGTTAGTACCGAGATGGGAGGCTGTGTTAGTACATTGTCATTGTTTGTCTTTTCATAACCTTTGTCACAGTACCATGAAGACGGAGAGACCAACTAAAGCTCTGTTGCATATCTGAAATGCACACAGTGAGGTGTGGCCATGCTTATGGGACACACCTTCAGATGCTTATCTGCTGGTAAAACACTTCCTACAGGAGCTTCTGCAACTGTGAAGGCTTTCAGAGATCGCAACAGGCACAGAGTTAACTGGCATGCTGATAAAAGCAAGCTGGCAAAATGCTGGGCAGAGTTGGTGGTTTTAAGATAAGAGTCCAGTCAAAGTGGATATGGAGAAGTAGAAAAGGAGCTTAGTATATAAGGTACATACAGCAGCACACTCCCCTTTCTGATGTTATGGATCCCAAAGTTCAATGTATTGCATAATTTAACCTGAATGTGCAAGTGAGCTATAACACTTGAAAGACAGAGCGTCCATGCTTGTGACTAGCCAAGTTAGGAAAAGGGGATTTCCATTACTTTCTATCTAGGACATGCCTGAAAATACTAAGCACTGAAGCTATTCTTCTGTGTGTGTTTGTGCAGACCTAAACACAGTCCCATACAAATTAATTTAAATATGTGACCTGTTTATGAAGAAAACTAAAATGTAAATTTCTTCATCTCCTTTTCTTTCTAGAAACAAATTCAAAATGTTCAATATTTATGTGTAACATTTTATCCTCTTAATTTAATATTTCTGTTGAGCACAAGGAAAACTGGGATTTATTTTTTAGCTAAATGAACAATTATAAATTCTCATGGCTGTTAGCCACTTAGCTACATGTTCTTTGGTTAAAATATCTCCTTCATATTTGAGATAGTGAGCTCAGCATCATAAGGTTGGCTTTTTTTATTTGTACAAACATTTCACATGTTGAAATCAGCCAGGTCAAAATAGGTTTAGCTGTTTTAAATGTTGAAGTTACCATTAACTTGTTTTCTTCCTATTTCAGAGCACTTATGAGTGGATTTGCTGATTTAAGAATACTAGGTTGCGGGGGGGGGGGAAATTAGGCCTATGTCTTGTTTAACAGGATCTTTCTAATGGCTGCTAAAACAAAATTCTAACAGGATTGTACTTATAAATATCTGTATATGGTTGAACTCCCTTGTCTATTTTTTGTGGAATGCTTTGCATCAGTTGGAATTTACAGCTTTTCCTCTGACCTAGCTGAGTCACACTGTTGACTTCACAAATCTCACTTCCTGAATGTTGCAGGGATCAAATGTCTTTCTGAACTCAAAATTATGTAGTTGAAGAAACGCAAGTAGAATTTTTTTTGTGAGATAGTGGGGAGGGTAGGTCAGTAGAACTTATATTTGAAAACATTTCATTCTTTTGGGTTGAGCCCATATTTGTTAGAGGAAGAGGCAGAATATTCATTTCCCTTGATAATATTTCATGTAAAAGGTATTCTTGAGTTATCCCTCTTTGTTATCAAACTATTGTTGTTACGGGGATCTAAAAGGTCTCCATTTTTCAAGTTTTACCCAAGGTAGTGCACGGTGCCCACTGAATCTTTGGGGAACTGAAATTTGGAATGGTGTTTAAGAACATGTTCACTTCTTTGCTTGTGTAGACAGGCAGTCTGGAAGTATTACATTGCACATGAACCAATAAATGTGGGGGGGGGGGACCATGAAGGCTTTTCTGCAACCACTTTGTTTGCCTGGATTGTTCAAGGGAACTTGCTGGCAACATTGTCCCTGGTGAACACCTTGCCACTGACCTTTCTAGTCTTAATCTTTGTACACCCATGCAATAAAGATTTAATAATTCATGTTGCTTGCTCTATTGTTCTATTGTAATGTGTTTTTATTTTATGGGGAGGTTTAATTGTGAACAAAGCAGAATAGTTAGCAGCTGGTCAAACCAAAACTTTGGTGTGTGGGGAGTTGCGGGAGGGGATGTGGGGGGGAGAGAGAGGGGTTGTGGCTATGGTGGGGGTGGGAAATGAGAATGGGTGGTAGGCTAGTCTAGGATTCGATGTTTGAGAAAATCTGTGTTTTACTAACCCTGGGGAACTGGCTGCTTCCAGATCTCTGAGCAGATAAACGTGGTGGTTTCCAAAGATGCATAGCATGGAGGTTTGTAACTGACAGGTACCTTGACAACTGAGGAAAAAGAACTTTGTGCACTGACAAAATTGCCATTGTGTGGATTCTGGGTAATTCCTGGCTCATGAGGTTGCAGAAGTTTGCGAGAGAGCAAAGAGTATGCCAGGATATGGAGATTGCTGTTTACAGACTAATTTGGGAGAGAAATGGTCTGCATTGGCATCGTGTTTCACCCACCAGTGACTTATGAGGTTGTGATCTCCTGGATGTTGTGGTGATTCACTGAGGTGGAAATGATCTGGGCCTTATTCCTAGTGTGCACCTCATACAATGTATTAAAGCAGATTTGGATCTGTGGTCAGGAGCTGTGATCGTTTTCACTGATTTGGCTGAGCATCTGAATAATTGCTACAGTGACAATATGAAAGCTATTAATAAGCATTGGAAGAATATTAACTGGGAAATCAGAGGGTTCATGGCTGACCAGACTGTATGGCATAGAAACATGGACTGTATGGCATAGAAACATTACAAGCTCTGACCTCCTCCACGCTTTCTCAGAGTTAGGGTATGTCTACACTACGGAATAAGGTCGAATTTATAGAAGTCGGTTTTTTAGAAATCGGTTTTATATATTCGAGTGTGTGTGTCCCCACAGAAAATGCTCTAAGTGCATTAAGTGCATTAACTCGGCGGAGCGCTTCCACAGTACTGAGGCTACAGTCGACTTCCGGAGCGTTGCACTGTGGGTAGCTATCCCACAGTTCCCGCAGTCTCCGCTGCCCATTGGAATTCTGGGTTGAGATCCCAATGCCTGATGGGGCTAAAACATTGTCGCGGGTGGTTCTGGGTACATATCGTCAGGCCCCCGTTCCCTCCCTCCCTCCGTGAAAGCAAGGGCAGACAATCATTTTGCGCCTTTTTTCCTGAGTTACCTGTGCAGACGCCATACCACGGCAAGCATGGAGCCCGCTCAGGTAACCGTCACCCTATGTCTCCTGGGTGCTGGCAGACGCAGTACGGCTTTGCTGCACAGTAGCAGCAACCCATTGCCTTCTGGCAGCAGACGGTGCAATACGACTGGTAGTCTTCCTCGTCGTGTCCGAGGTGCTTCTGGCCACGTCGGCTGGGAGCGCCTGGGCAGACATGGGCGCAGGGACTAAATTTGGAGTGACTTGACCAGGTCATTCTCTTTAGTCCTGCAGTCAGTCCTATTGAACCGTCTTATGGTGAGCGGGCAGGCGATACGGACTGCTAGCAGTCGTATTGTACCATCTTCTGCCAGGCAGGCAAGAGATGAGGATGGCTAGCAGTCGTATTGTACCATCTTCTGCCAGGCAGGCAAGAGATGAGGATGGCTAGCAGTCGTACTGTACCATCTTCTGCCGAGCAGCCATGAGATGTGGATGGCATGCAGTCCTTCTGCACCGTCTGCTGCCAGTCAAAGATGTAAAAGATAGATGGAGTGGGTCAAAACAAGAAATAGACCAGATTTGTTTTGTACTCATTTGCCTCCTCCCCTGTCTAGGGGACTCATTCCTCTAGGTCACACTGCAGTCACTCACAGAGAAGGTGCAGCGAGGTAAATCTAGCCATGTATCAATCAGAGGCCAGGCTAACCTCCTTGTTCCAATAAGAACGATAACTTAGGTACACCATTTCTTATTGGAACCCTCCGTGAAGTCCTGCCTGAAATACTCCTTGATGTACAGGCACCCCCTTTGTTGATTTTTAGCTCCCTGAAGCCAACCCTGTAAGCCGTGTAGTCAGTCGCCCCTCCCTCCGTCAGAGCAACGGCAGACAATCGTTCCGCGCCTTTTTTCTGTGCGGACGCCATACCAAGGCAAGCATGGAGGCCGCTCAGCTCACTTTGGCAATTAGGAGCACATTAAACACCACACGCATTATCCAGCAGTATATGCAGCACCAGAACCTGGCAAAGCGATACCGGGCGAGGAGGCGACATTAGCGCGGTCACGTGAGTGATCAGGACATGGACACAGATTTCTCTGAAAGCGTGGGCCTGCCAATGCATGCATCATGGTGCTAATGGGGCAGGTTCATGCTGTGGAATGCCGATTCTGGGCTCGGGAAACAAGCACAGACTGGTGGGACCGCATAGTGTTGCAGGTCTGGGACGATTCCCAGTGGCACTTTCATGGAACTTTGTGACTTGCTTTCCCCTGCCCTGAGGCGCATGAATACCAAGATGAGAGCAGCCCTCACAGTTGAGAAGCGAGTGGCGATAGCCCTGTGCAAGCTTGCAACGCCAGACAGCTACCGGTCAGTTGGGAATCAATTTGGAGTGGGCAAATCTACTGTGGGGGCTGCTGTGATGCAAGTAGCCCACGCAATCAAAGATCAGCTGATATCAAGGGTAGTGACCCTGGGAAATGTGCAGGTCATAGTGGATGGCTTTGCTGCAATGGGATTCCCTAACTGTGGTGGGCTATAGACGGAACCCATATCCCTATCTTGGCACCGGAGCACCAAGCCGCCGAGTACATAAACCGCAAGGGGTACTTTTCGATAGTGCTGCAAGCTCTGGTGGATCACAAGGGACGTTTCACCAACATCAACGTGGGATGGCTGGGAAAGGTGCATGATGCTCGCATCTTCAGGAACTCTGGTCTGTTTCAAAAGCTGCTGGAAGGGACTTTATTCCCAGACCAGAAAAT